CATTACCGGCCACACAATTGACTGGAATGCAACGGAAAGATTGGCCTGATATGGGGAAAACACCAGAAAGGGGAGGATCAAGAAGGCTGTGGACATGCTCTTTCAAAGAAACCTGATGAAGAGGAGGTTGGAAGAGGGAAGAGTCAGCGACACTTTCGCGTATTGCCTGAGTTGACTTGGCGATTCAACAAATGCATCTAAAAGGAGATGCTCGGAGCCAGGACAACTGTTCAACAAGAGGAAGAGACATCACCAAGGAGCGGCTCATGAGGGACAAAAAGAAGTCAAGAAGTGTCAGACGTGCAATTGGCCCAGGGGGTTCACCTGTGATGTATGTAGGATATGAAATTAAAGGCTATGGGCATAGGTGGGCTGGATAGAGATCACCATCGTGTATGTGTAAGTGTCGTGTGCAATTTTCGTATCTGCGTCGGAAGGGGGGTGACTGGGAAGCAGGCTTGACCACGGAGCTACCAACAAACATAGGCACAGTGACATCATCCCAGTACCCTATGGTTAGATGGGAATGTCAATTTGAGAGACGAGAGGAGTGTGCTTTTCGCAATTCAAGGGAAAAAGGGAAGCGGTGCATTCTCACACCGGCGGGTATGACTAAAGCCGGATACAGAGCCCCAAAGAATGAGAAACAATGTGGGCAGAGATGAGAAAGAGGATAACCAGTCATAGGTTTGAGGCCTAGGGAGAGGAGGTTTCCCTGCACTGGCATGGGCATCATCTACTCTAAATCCTCGAATTAGGCAGCCAGATTGCAAACAGCCGAACAGTAATTTTGATGTTTGGCAGCGGCTAATTGACAAGAGGGTAGGAAAAAAAAGGGGGCAGAATGTATGTCTGGAGCCCTACAAACTGCTTCTGGTACCGGTGGTGGAGATGTGTACGCTTTACCGAACGCACTCGTAACGACACGCTCAAAGGTGAGGTTGGAGGAAACGAGCGCACAGAATTGTGTGAATAAGTGGATGGGCGATATGAAGTGGGGTTGAGAGAGAGAGAGAGAGAGAGATGCTGTACTAATGGGTCGAACAAAAAAAATAGGGGCGAGGAGTGATGGCACAAGAGTTGAAAAGAAGGGGATTACCTTCACTTGTCACTTTAACAAGTTGTAATTATGTGTTT